ATACAGCAAATATCCAACCAAACAAGGGGAACAAAGCAGCAGAAAATAACTTCTCTGCTCATAAGGTTTTTAAGTATGTACAATGTCTTATTTTTTTACACTTCTGACTTTCATTACAAAAACAGTATCTAAGTCCACCATTTCTTACTTTGTACAGTACTAACATAGAATGAAACCTTGTGGCTGAGAGGCAGTCATGAGGGAGGAAGGACAGAAAAGACGACCGAAGGGGAAATCGTCAGGGTTGAGGATACAGGCAGGATTTTCTTTAAACGTCTAGAGCCCCAAAAAACACAACTCGACCGACCATTTTCCCATGTCACAGTTCATAAACAAGGTTTTAATATATGTACACGCACAACCTGCTGAACAATGACCAGCTGAAAGCGGAGGTACAATACGCCTTCAGCTGAACGATCAGGCATCAATAGTTCACCCCTCCATTTTTAAATTTTTTTCGGCGATTGGTGTCAGGGTAAGGAAGGTGTGCACATTCATAGGCAAACTGAAGATGGAGGGTAGAGTGGTGGCCCATGGGTTAAAAGATCTCTATCTGCTCTGCAGATCTGGTCGACGGCTGCAGTAAAATGTGACCAGATGCACCGTTAGTGTCACCCACCCACCAAAACACTGTTATGGTTTAATTCAAACCTATAGACCCTGACAGAAATTAAAAAAGAGGAAAGTTGTCACAAATCAAACTGCATTTAACGCAACCTTCAACCCACCTACCACATAAAATACATAAAATAAATTCTTTGTATTTGACTTGTTGCAGTTGTTGTAAAATGTACATTGCTTTGAGAGAAGGCTGTAACGGAAGATATGTCGATGCTTGTTTTAGACCCCCCCCTCCCCAAAAAAATTTATAAATTCAGAAATAAAATATACTTACTCTCTGCAAAATAGATACAATCATGACTGGGTATTTGAGGAGGAAAACAAAACGATAAAAAAGGTACATCGTGTCATTTCACTTTAATTTTTAGCCACATTTAAAATCTTAAAAATATTCATAAAAAGGCAAAATTCTCAGTCCCCAAAAATATTGTGTCGTAGACTTGAGGAAGAAATATCTTCAACCTGAAACACTGCCCTTCCACCCTTTTGTACACAATTGGCAAAAATATATAGATATATATTAACAGCAATAACTTACCATTGTTTAATTTATTCATTTATTGACTTCTAGGATTTATCTCCCATAGGAAGGAAGCTTCAGTTCTTATTTATACATCACAAAAATATTTAAATAAAAAATAAAAACTTCTAAAACCCCAAAGCCGTAGTCCAGTCTTGCTCTCCTTTCATGGCAGTTTGTTATTTGGGGCAACTCATCAGAGCATCAAGACAGAAAGACAACATGGAGCCAAGGCTACATAAGGTCTAAACTGTTGTGGTTAATGTTCGCTCCCAGCTCCTGATTGTTGTTACTGCTGTTGTTATTATTCCCACCCAACATGTCTGACTGTCCGCCCTGTCCACCGTGCATCCCAGTCATCCCACTCAACTGGGACATGATGGAGTTCTGGTCAGAGCTGAACTGACTGGGATCTACTGAACCACCTGGCTGCTGCTGAGGTAACACTTGCTGCTGGGGTTGTGGAGGTTGGGGCAACGCCATGCTGGGGTGATGTTGGCTTAAGTGGCCTGGGTGGGGTGAGCCAGTCTGGGTCTGTGGAGAGATGCGATGAGGTGAGGGCTGGGGCTGAGGTTGGGAGGAGGGCTGCATGCGCGGGGACGGGCTAGAGTGAGGGGGCTGCGACTGCGGTCTCGGTGAGGGCTGAGGCGACCTCACCTGACTGCTGAGGGACCCTGCTGGACCAAGTCCTCCTTGTCCTTGCAGGTGGTGTGGAGACTGAGCCATCTGCTGTTGAGGACTCATTGGACTGCTATGTTGGGCAGGAGAGCCACCCCCAAGGTGTTGCTGCTGCTGCTGCAGCAGCCTCTGGTGGATGTTCTGGTGAAGCATACCTTGGGATGTCTGTGACAATGGGGGTCCACCACCCCCTCCACCGACTCCACCTTGCTGTTGTTGTCCCTGCCCTGGTCCAACTTGTCCAGCCTGAAGTGGAGGTCCTCCAGGTCCTCCTCCTCCACTGGGCCCTCCGTCTTGTCCTTGAAGTCCACCCATTGGATTTTGCTGCTGCTGCTGCTGCTGTTGTTGTTGTTGTTGTTGCTGCTGCTGCTGCTGCATCTGCATCTGGAGCCTTTGCTGGAGTGCTGCAGCTACTTGTGACATGGAATTGGGGTAGCCTTGCTGCTGGCCTGGCTGTCCTGGCCCAGCCTGTGGCCCTCCTTGTTGCTGCTGGGGCCCCCCAACCCCTCCACCACCTGACTGGGGTTGGGAAGAAGGGGGTATCCCTGGCTGTCCCTGGCCAGGCTGCATGAAGCCTTGCTGGCCTTGCTGCTGCTGAAGTCCTTGAGGCTGCTGGAACTGCCCGTGGTTTCCCATTTGCTGCTGCTGCTGTTGTTGTTGCTGCTGCTGCTGCTGCAGATGTCTTCTCATCAACATCTCTCTGAACTGTGTTGTCATACTGCCCTGTTGCCCGGCTTGCATTCCTCCCTGTTGTTGTTGCTGCTGCTGTTGTTGCTGCAATGCAGCCATTTGCTGTTGCTGGAGATTCCCAGGCAACATTGGGCGCTGTTGCTGCTGCTGCTGCTGCTGCTGCTGCTGCTGTAACTGCTGAAGCTGAGCCATGGTGGGCATATTCCCTCCCTGTGCTCCACCCTGAACCATGTTCATCCCTGGCTGGCCTGTCTGGTTCACATTAACTTGTGTTTGTCCTTCCATGTTAGGAAGCTGGTTAGCCCCGGGTCCTCCTACACCCGGAAGCCCCCCAGGAGCGCCTTGGAACCTCACACCTCCAGGGGCCCCTTGTGGAGGCCCTCCGGGTCCTCCAGGACCCCCCTGACCTCCTTGATATCTTGCTGCTCTTTGCCTGATAAAAGCAGCCATGAGGGTTGGGTTGGAACGAAGGATGTTGAGGACTTGCTGCTGTTGAATAG